TTCCGTTTCACTTTCAAATAAACAATAAGTTCTCTTCTTTTGAATATACCTTTTGTAGAGTTTAAAGCATCTCCATTCAACATAATTTATTTTATCTATAAAAAGAGCTAAAACAAAGTTGATTATCATTTTTTTCATAAAATTAAAGACTCTAGGATGAAATTAAACAGATACAGTAGTTGATTTGTTTCCCATGTGCAAACATTAAAATTCGATCTTCCTATTAAAAAAAAAAAATCAAAGAAGGAAGGCCTGGTCAGGTTTACGGGGGTGTGAAGTGAACACTTGGACTGCAAGGAGGTCCAACCAGTACATTGTAAAGGAGATCAGCTCTGGGTGTTCACTGGAAGGACTGATGCTGAAGCTGAAACTCCAATACTGTGGCCACCTCATGCAAAGAGTTTACTCATTGGAAAAGACCCTGATGCTGGGAGGGATTGGGGGCAGGAGGAGAAGGGCACAACAGAGGATGAGATGGCTGGATGGCATCACCGACTTGATGGACATGAGTTTGAGTAGACTCCCGGAGTTGGTGGTGGACAGGGAGGCCTGGCATGCTGCGATTCATGTGGTCGCAAAGAGTCGGACATGACTGAGCAACTGAACTGAACTGAAGTGAACATGGTTTGCTGCCTAAGAGGAGCAGCAGTGTAGCTTTTCTCCTCCAGGAATATAGTGTAAGGATTGGTTCATCATGGCATTTGCACCAGAGAATACTTGCTGTTTATTTTGTCACTATCCATGAGCTAAGAATTATTTTTTACATTTTCAAATGGTTGAATAAAAAAAAAAAAAAAGAAACAAAAAATTACCACCTCTGACACATGAAAATTATATAAAATTCAAGTGGCATTAACATTGTAACTTTATTTCTAGGAATACATTGAAAGAAAATAAAGATATATCTACACAAAAACTTACACATGAACTGTCATAGCCCAAATGAACTGGATAAACAAATGTTATACATCCATGCAATGGAATATTCTTCAAGAATAATAAAAGATTGTACTGTTGATACACACTACAACATGAATGAATCTTGAGAGTGTTATGCTAACTGAAAACTGCCAGGCACAAAATATCAAGCATTTTATGGTTTCACTTATATGAAATGTCCAGAATGAGTAATTCTTTAGAGACAGAAAATAGATCAATGCTTGCCAGAGGCTTAGGGGAAGAAAAATTGGGAGTAATGAAAGTGTTCCGGAGTTAATAATGAGGAATGTGAGACATTGTGAATTTACTTTGAATGACTTTATTGTATAGTTTAAAAGAATAAATATTATGGTATGTGAATTATATTTTAAGAAAATATTTTTTCTAAAAAAAGATTTCATTTCCTTATTAGTTTTCATCAGTTTTGCTGTGAAATGTCAAGCAGTACATAAATAGATAATATAAGTAGATACATGGTATAGATACACAGACACATAAATACATATGTAAAGAGACAGAAGAATAGAGATAAATGTATAAATTTTAAAACTTGTCTTGGTGTTAAGAAATTTTTGAAACTTATTTGAGGTTGCTTACCCTTTGTGCACAATCATTGTATATTATCTCTGCTAATATTGCTTCTACACCCTTCCTTTTTGGATTCCAAATGCCTGCTTGCTACACATTATTTTATCCTCTATAACATTCACACTATATCATATATTTCTCACTCATTCAACTTTTGAGTTTCATTCTATATCGCATATTAGAAATCATTATACCTCTGTGTTTGGCTCTCCTGGAGGAGGAAATGACAACCCACTCCGGTATTCTTGCCTGGAGATTCTCATGGACAGAGGAGCCTAGTGGGCTTCATTCCATAGGGTCACAGGGTCAGACATGACTGAAATGACTGAGCACACACACACCTCTGTGTTCATCTGTGTTTATTTGGTATTATAGTTCTATATTTTGGTTTTACTTGATTACTACTTTTTTCAGTTTTAAAAATTTTACTCAGTTTTCTAATAGCTTCTTCATCTTTTCATTGTTACTGTGAACAGAGATATCATACTAATTTAAAGGCTAACCCCTATAGTTAAAACCCTTGGGGATCATTGCTGTCTCTATTTTGTTATTGTTCAAAAGCAAGTTGTCTTTTCTCCTCGTGTCTATGGTTATTTATGTATTAGTTGCTATTACATTTTCAAAATTGCTTGTAGAAAATTACAAGAATAAGACAAATAACTTACTCTCATATGAGGCATGAGAGTAAATTAATCTTTCTTTCAATTTCATGCATTTGCTTCTTCAAATCCAGGCAACACAGTAGTTATTGAGTATCACCAGAACTTATTTCAACAATTGAGATAGCTTAAAACGGGACTATAATCCAAGTCTATCTATATTTTTACCTATTTCCAAGTCACTCTTTCTTTTAAGTTGCCTTCCCTTTGAGGTTTTGGTCCATTTAAACAAAGAATTTTACTATGCAACCTATTTTAATTAAATACCAGATGGTGACTTTTCCTATTTAGTCCTGTGAGGCTGTCCTAAGTGCTGGTTAGTTTCCTAACCTAAGAGAAAAAGTTTTTAAGCTGGCAAGTGCACCAAGTGCATGCCATGATTTCTCGCTCTGAATATCTGTCTTCTTTTATACCTTGCTTTGGTGATAAATACTGCTCAAGAGTTTTAAAATGAACTGATATTTTTTCCCCTCAGATTTTTGAAATGTTCTTAAGAAACTTGATCTACAAGCAGTCTCTTATTCTTAAAAAGTGACTTTTTCTGTTGGAAGTGAAACTATCACGATTTCCATTTCATAAGAATAGGATCCTGTTACCCACTGGACCTTCTTATCTCTACAGTCTATCCAACTCAGTTGATCTTATTTAATATGTCAGTCTTACAGTAGCCTATGATGTGTGTGTCTCACTGTTGATTCAACTACAGACTTCTTGATAAATATTGCAATGTTTTTGTCTTTAAAATTGTTTCTGGAATAAATATCACTAAACTTACATTTATGCACTAGTATACTCTAATTGCTATGAAATTGAGTTTAAGAAGAAATAATTTTTAATTCACATATAATCTTTCAATTAATTTCTGAATTTGTTCTTATACATAGAAGAAATACATTCTAAAATTTTTGAATAGTCAATGATCTTATTCTTGTTGGAACAAAATTGGAAGCTCTCAGGAGTTGAGTAAGTACACTGTATCTGCATAACAGTCAGATTAAGTTCCATGTTTTACACAGTACATAGCAAATTTGATGATGTTGCTGTTGTTGTTTACTCACTCAGTCATGCCAGCTCTTTGTGACCCCAAGGACTGCAGCATTCCAGGTTTTGCTGTCCTTAACCGTCTCCCAGAGCTTGTTCAAACTCGTCCATTGAGTCAGCAAGGCCATCAAGACATCTCATCCTCTGCCATCTCCTCTGTTCCTACCTCCAATCTTTCCCAACATCAAGGTCTTTTTCAATGATTCAGCTCTTCACATCAGGTGTCCAAATTATTGGAGGTTCAGATTCAGTATCATTCCTTCCAATGAGTATTCAGAACTTCTTTCCTTTAGGACTGACTGGTTTGATCTCCTTGCAGTCCAAGGAACTCTCAAGAGTCTTTTCCAATACCACAATTCAAAAGTATCAACTCTTCAGCACTCAGCCTTCTTTATGGTCCAACCCTCACATCCTCCATACGTGAGTAGTTGAAAAAAACATATAGCTTTGAACTATACGGACCTTTGTTGGCAAAGTAATGTCTCTGTTTTTTAATATGCTGAATAGGTTTATCAGGAGATCAAACCAATCAATCCTAAAGGAAACCAACCCTGAATATTCATTGGAAGGACTGATGCTGAATCTGAAGCTCCAATACTGTGGTCAACTGATGTGAAGAACTGACTCATTAGAAAAGACTCTGATGCTGGGAAATATTGAAAGCCAGAGGAGAAAGGGATCACAGAGGATGAGATGGTTGGATGGCATCACCAACTCAATGGACATGAGTTTCAGCAAGCTCCAGGAGTTGATGATGGACAGGGAAGCCTGGAATGTTACAGCCCCTGGGGTCGCAAAGAGCCAGACACAACTGAGTGACTGAACTGATTAGGTTTATCATAGCTTTTCTTCCAAGGAGCAAGAGTCATTTAACTGCATGGTGGCAGTCACCATCTGCATGATTTTAGAGTCCAAGAAAATAAAATCTGTCACTGTTTCCCCATCTATTTGCCATTAAGTGATGGGGCCAGATGCCACAATCTCAGTTTTCTGAGAGTTGAATTTTAAGCCAGCTTTTTCAGTCCCCTCTTTCACTTTCATCAAGAGGCTCTTCAGTTTCTCTTTTCTTCTTATCATAAGAGTGGTGTCATCTGCATATCTGAGATTGTTGATAATTCTCCCAGCAATCATGATTCCAGCTTGTGCTTCAACCAGTCTGGCATTTCACATGATGTACTCTGCATATAAGTTAAATAAGCAGGGTGTCCATATACAGTCTTGTAGTACTCTTTTCCTAATTTTGAACCAGTCTTTTTTTTTTTTTTTTAAACATCACTGTGCAGTTTTATTAACCATTCAAGTACTGTAGCATCTGTGAGATGCGGACACAATTGGGATTTAAAAGCCAACACATATTCAACATCTAACAATTTGAAAGAAGCCACTACATACTCTTTTCACAGGCATGTTTTCATGGAACCAACACAGTACTAGCCATTAAACCCAGCACACCACGTGTACTGAAGTAGAAAAAAAAAAAAATGCAACAAGAAAAATAGATACATTAGACAGACTTCAACACTTTAGGGAAAGGGTAATACACATTTCATTTCTCTTCTCTTGCCCCTAAATCAACATCATACCATCTGAATTTACTTATACAGTCCTACATCCGCTTCCAGAATATTTTCCAGGGGGAAAAAAGTAAAATGACACTGGCCAGTACAGTCTTAAGATATTTAGGAAGGGGAGGGGGAGAAAGTCAGTTCTCAGAACAAATTAGTTGGCTTCAGTCTCATCAGCGGGATCTTTGGATTCTTTGTTCTTCTGCACTTATTCAATGTTCTTGTCCATCTCTCGTAAATGGTCAAATTTGGCAGCCCTGTGTGCCCCTTGTTTCTCTTTGTTGGCTTCCATCTTGTGGGTCAGCTTCTCTTCTGCCATTTTACGGACGTTGTTGTTCTTCTCTATCATTTTCTGAAGCACTTCTTTCTCACGCTCCCGTTTCTCACCAAGCTGCTTCAAGACTTCAGCTTCATGGGACTTGTGTCTTTCTTCCGTAGCTTCTAATTTCTTCTGAATTTCCTCCAGGGAAAGATTCTTGTTCTTAGGAGGGGGAAGGGGAAATTCTGAGAGAGATTCTTTCTAATGAGGGCTGAGAATCAGCTCAAAAGCCTGGCCAGAGGCATGTTTCTCCAGATCCTTCATCTGGATATCAGAAGAAGCCACAGTGAAGAGGAGACAAGAGAATGGCAGTGTACTCTACACGATTCGCAGGCAAGGAAAACCCTGCTCAGTCTAGCCTCCCGGCCACACTCTGAGCACTAACAGACCCCGATGTGCACCAGTCTGTTGTTCCATATCCAGTTCTAACTGTTGCTTCTTGATCTGTATACAGACTTTTCAAGAGGCAAGTAAGGTAGTCTGGAATTCCCATCTCTTGAAGAATTTTCCACAGTTTGTTGTAATCCACATGGTCAAAGGTTTTGGCGTAGTTAATAAAGCAGAAGTAGATGTTTTTCTAGAACTCTTTTGCTTTTTCTATCATCCAGTGGATGTTGGAATTTGATCTCTGGTTCCTCTGCCTTTTCTAAATTTATCTTGAACATCTGGACATTCTTGTTTCACACACTGTTGTAGCCTAGCTTGGAGAATTTTGAACATTAGTTGGCTAGCATGTGAGATGAATGCAATTGTGTGGTAGTGTAAGCATTCTTTAGCATTCCCTTTCTTTGGGATTGGAATGAAAACTGACATTTCCAATCCTGAGGCCACCACTGAGTTTTCCAAATTTGTTGGCATATTGAGTGTAGCAAATTAACAGCATCATTTTTTAGGACTGAAAATGGTAAAGATAAATATTATATGTGGATGTTTAGCTATTATTCCTAAAATGTTTACAGAAACAAATATAAATGTATGTATTTATCACAGTCTATTTCAAATGTTTAAATTTTAATAGAATGTATGAGGAAAATTTAAAAAAAAAGAAAGAGAATAAATTTACTTTTTTTGTGGTATTTCCTTTCCCAAAGTAAATTATTCATTATGTGATGTGTCTTTCAAGTATAACTACTTCTTACCAGCATTAAAACAACTTATTGAGTTAATAGTACACCCCCTAAAAGAAATCATAATAATTAATGGAATTTTAAAAGATAAATTGTGACTTTAGAAAGGCAACAAATCATATATACTGAGTTTCACCTAACTGTAATATGCAAAGTTGTGCCAGAGTATTTCACACTCTATATCATTTCTCAGATTTCAAGTATATTTGTTCCTGTCTTCCTGATTCCTGCTACATTTTCATGAATTCTTCACTAAATCACATCACTGAATAGTTGGAAAAAACTGCTTCAGTATTTTTCATAATAAGAAGAGATTAAGTGAAACATAATAAGGCATAGTTCTGGAAAAAAAAGTGTACAGGTTTAATGTGTATTGGCTTTTATTGTATGCAGGGAAATGGAAGAGAAAAAATAAACATCATTCTAAGTGCAATCTTTTAAAAAATGGAAAATCCTTTTTACTTCAGGAACTATTTTTTTAACAAGACAAACATGGTGCTATAAAATAATTACTAGAATATTTTCCTAATACAAGTGTCTCAGTTTGCAGAACAGCTAAATGAATCAATTACCAAATAATCCCACAGTGAAAGAGCTAGGTTTTTATAAGTTTTAGAATACAATCACACACACACACACACACACATGCACACACACATAGAATCAGTTGTGTAATAGAATCTATAATCCTACAATATAAGGTACCTGGGGCTTATTATCATATAGAATAAAGGAAGCCATTTTAAAAAACAATAAACTGACATTTTCATGGAAGATATATTACATAAATAATTTCCTAAGGCCAAAAGTGTCTTATCATTAAAGTGGACATTATAGTAAAAGAATTGCCTGATGTTAAGTTCTATAATTTTAGGTAGTGAAAGTTCTAAGAATTTGCTGCAATTTATATAAATAGATAAATTTAATAAACTGAAATCAACCAATTAAGACTTTAGAAAATAGTGATTCCCTGGTGGCCCAGTTATTAGAACTTCCACTGCAAGGGTGAGGGTTCCATCCCTGGTCAGGGAACTAAGATTCTGTGTGTCACAATGAGCAGCCGAAAAAAAAAAAAAAAAAAAAAAAAAAGAAAGAAAGAAAGGAAAGAGAAACCCTATTGTTATAATGTTACCAAAATATACAAAATATATAAGCCAAGAATATTAATAGTTTCAAGCTCAAGTGTTAAAAATAGCCAATAGCCCATTTCCTCTCCCTTAAACACTATAAAAATATACTGGCAATCTAAAGTGCAAAGTTACTTTTAATACAGGAGACCAACAAAGGCAACAGAAGAATTACCACAAACTAGCAAGGCTATGGAAAACTGTAATGTATTCATCACAAGAAACAAAAGTATTCATAGATTTTCTATTATAATTTATCATTAAAGTTTTTAACTTTTTTGTAGCTAGCAATTGTGACAGAATTAAATAATGACTTTTAATACACATTCAGCAAATGATAAAAGATCCCCCATGATTATTCCAACGATTTCAATATTTTAAGTAGCAAATCTCTCTTATCTTGTGAAACGTTCAACTATGTTCTCTCCTCAGGGAAATTTCTAAAGACAATGCATAATTTAATCATGATTCTAATTAGATGCTGAGTAGGAATCCCACAGTGTGAAAGTTACATGGCAATGTCACTAATTATTTGTTACTTTAACTTGTGGTCTAAAACAATTCTAGGTAGCTTCAGGAAAGTATGCATAGAATTAGCAATCCAGAGTAGATATTTCTCAGGAGTACTCTTGAGATGTCACTCATTTCATAATTATTGGCTATGAAGCACTTTTCTCATTGCCTTTGTGATTTATATTATCTCTCTTTGTAGTAAAGTACATAAAATATAATTGTTTTTCATTGTTGAAAAACATAACTATGATTATTCATAGTTAACCCATTAAATAATCTGCATGATATCCAAGCAATATAAAATAACTCTTGTATTAATAGTTGACTTCCTCAAGGACTAAAACTTAGCTTTTAAATTTTCAATGTTTTGGACTTCCAGTTCAACATGCTGGAGTAAAAGAACGTGTGCTCATCTCCTCCTGTGAGAGCATTAATGTCACAATCAGCTGTTGAACAACCATTGACAGGAGGATACCTACCAAAATAAGATACCCCATACCCAAAGACAAACAAGAAGCCACAGCAAGACAGTAGGATAGGTACAATCACAATAAAATCAAATCTCATGCCAGCCAGATTAGTCAGCCAGAAACTGAGAACCGTAATACCAAAGAAATTCTCCAACTGTTGAGAGGGTTCAGAACTCCACACCAGGTTTCCCAACCTGGGGATCCAAAAAAGTGACTGGGAATCCCCAGGGAATCTGACTCTGAAGGCTAGAGGGATTTGATTACAAGACTTCAGAGGACTGAGGGATACCGAGAGTCTATTTTTGGAGGGAACAAACAAAACCTTGCATGCACCAAGACTCAGAGGAAAGGAGCAGTGACTCCACAGGAGACTGAACCAAAACTACCTGCTAGCGTTGGAGGGTTTCCTGTGGTGGTGTGCGTTGGCAAGGGCTCACCACAGGGATGAGGCTCTCGAACGATCAGGCCAAGAATGGCCCCCTTTGTGCAAACCCTCTTGGAAGTTACCAATAACTGACCATAGAGTCCATAGACTCAAGGGTCGCCTCAGGCCAGAAAACTACCAGGGAGGGGATAATTGGATTAAAGCTTTACTGAGCAAGGCCCTGTTTTTCCCACCACCAGTGTCTTCCATCAGGAAGTTTGCACAAGCTTCTTAGCCTCCTCTACCAGAGGGAAGACAGAAGAAGAAAGAAGAACTGCAATCCCACAGGAACTAAAGCAAAACCACATTACAGAAAGTTAAACAGCATAAAAAAGAAGAAACTTATGTCCCAGATGAAGGGACAAAATAGAATATCAGAAAAACCACTAAATGTAGTGGAGATAGGCAACCTCCCAGAAAAAGAATTCAGAATAATAATAGTGAACATAATTCAGGATCTTAGAAAAAGAATGGAGGCAAAGGTTGAGAAGATGCAAGAAATGTTACCAAAGACCTAGAAAAAATGACAGAACAAACAAACAGAGATGAATAATACAAAAGACATACTTGCATGAATAATACACAATCCATAGCACAATATCTGAGAAAGAGGAATAGAGAAATGACCTGGAGGACAGAATGGTGGGAATTACTGCCACAGAACAGAATATAGAAAAAAAGAATGAAAGAAATGAAGACCATCTCAGAGACCTCTGGGACAACATTAGATGCATCAAAATTCACATTATAGGGATGGGTCCCAGAAGGAGAATAGAGAGAGAAAGACTTGAGAAAATATTTGGAGATATAATAGCTGAAAACTTCCCTAGCATGGGAAAGAAAATAATCAACTAGGACCATGAAGCACTGACAGTCCCAGGCAGAATAAAACTAAGGAGGAAAACACCAAGACACATAGCAATCAAACTGATAAGAATTGAAGACAGAGATAAAAATATTGTTTCTCAGTTGCTCAGTTGTGTCTGACTCAGGGATACAATGGACTGCAACACACCAGGCTTCCCTGTCCTTTATTATCTCACGGAGTTTGTTCAAACTCGAATCCATCCAGTTGGTGATGCCATCCAACCATCTCATCCTCTGTTGCCCCCTTCTCCTCCTGCCCTCAGTCTTTCCCAGTATCAGGATCTTTTCCAATGAGTTGGCTCTTTGCATCATGTGACCAAAGTATTGCAGCTTCAACTCCAGCATCAGTCTGTCCAATGAATATTGAGGGTTGATTTCCTTTAGGATTGACTGGTTTAACCTTGCTGTCTAGGGGATTCTCAAGAGCCTTCTCCAGCACCACAGTGTGAAATCATAAATTCTTCAGTGCTCAACCTTATTTTTGTCCAACTCTCACATGTGTACTTGCCTACTGGGGAAAAAAAAAAGGTAGCTTTGACAAATAAGAACCTTTGTCAGCAAAGTGATGTCTCTGTTGTTTTTTAATATGCTGCCTAGGTTTGTCATAGTTTTCTTCCAAGGAGCAAGCATCTCCTAACTTCATCATTGCAGTCACTGTCTGCAGTGATTGTGGGGCCTAAGAAGATAAAGTCTATCATGATTTCTATTTTTCCCCCATCTATTTGCCATGAAGTGATGAGACTGGATGCCGTGATATTAGTTTTTATGAATTCAATTTTAAACCAGATTTTTCACTCTTCTCTTTCACCTTCATCAAAAGGCTTTTTAGTTCTTCTTCACTTCTGCCTTTAGGGTGGTGTCATCTGCACATCTGAGGCTATTGATATTTCTCCTGGCAATCTTGATTCCAGATTGAGCTTCATACAGTCCAGCATTTCACATGATATGCTCTGCATATAAGTTAAAAGAGCAGGGTGACAATCTACAACCTTGAAGTACTGTTTTCCAAATTTTGAACGAGTCCATTGGTGCATGTCTCTTTTCTATCTCTTTCTTTCTAGTCCTGCATGCAGGTTTCTCAGGAGGAAGATAGGGTGGTCTGGCATTCCCATCTCTTTAAGAATTTTTAGCAATTTGTTGTGATACACATTGTGAAAGCCTTTAGCATATTCAATGAAACAGAAGTGTTTTTCTAGAATCCCATTGCTTTTTCTGTGATCCAATGAATTTTGGCAATTTGATCTCTGGTTCCTCTGATTTTTCTAAATCCATCTTGTACATCTGGAAGTTATTAGTCCAAGTAGTTTTGAAGCTGAGCTTGAAAAATTTGGGGCATTATCTTGCTAGCATATGAAATGAAAGGAATTGTGTTACAGTTTGAAATTTCTTCGGCACTACCCTTCTTTGGAATTGGAATGAAAGCACATTTTCCAGTCCTGTGACCACTGATGTGTTTTCAAAATTTGCTGGCATGTTGAGTGCAGCACTTGAACAGCATCTTATTTTAGGATTTTAAATAGCTCACCTGAAATTCCATCATCTCCAATAGTTTCATTCATAGTAATGCTTCCTAAGGCCCACTTGACTTCACACTTCACTCCCCAGGATGTCTGGCTCTAAGTGAGTTATCCCACCACAGTCGTTTCAACGTTTTAATTTAAAACTATTCATCACAAAAATCTAGTATGTTATCCATGATATTGAAGTGAAACAGAAACCAAAAGTATTTCAAATTTCAAATAAGATTCTACAGTACTGGATGTGTATTTGTATATATTTGGTAAAGCCCATCACTGAATTATACTACCTTAATTTTTCATGAGGCAATTTCTGGTGCTGAAAATGAACCAGTCTTGTATGCATGAAAGCAAACTAAAAAACAAAGAAACCAAGAAACCTTTTCACCAACCTCTTCAGGGCAAGAGTGAAAGAGATTCTCCCGCCCCACCCCCCATTAACAGATGCATTGATCACAAATGTTTGCAATATGAAAAATTTCATCAAGTCAGGCTAAACAAAGTTTCCTTAAAAATAATTCTTGAGACTGTAATTGTATGCATAATTGCAAGTATTTTTTGAAGGATATAGTGAAACATTACTTGATTACATTTAGAATTTTATCATTATGATAACAAGCTTTCTATTTTACTTCACATTTGCTTTACAAGACAGTATTATATACTATGAACATTGATACATTATGAACATTGTGCACTAACCGAATTATATCAACTTGGAAAGTAATAATAAAATGTCAGAAAGCTAAATGATGATAAAAATTATTCATAATCTCCAAAGTTCAGCTTACTTTTTTGTTATAAACCTTATAGAAGAAGCTAATAGCAAACTGACTTTTAATGACCTGTCTTGCTTTCACATAAAATCTGAATAGTCATGGAATTTCTCCTTAAGCATCAGAATTTGATTGATCATTTATCTTTTGTAATGTTTTAGTTTTTACTAAAATAATTTAAAATAAATCTGATAACTCATAGAAGGTAAATGGGAAAATATTTGTCTAGCCTCAGCTTTTATTTATTTTTTAAAATATTTTAAATTAGTTTTTATTGGAGTATAGTTGTTTTGCAATGTTGTGTTAGCTTCTACTGTACAGCAAAGTGAGTCAGCTATACAAACATCTCCTCTTTTTCTGTACTTCCTTCCCATTTAGGTCACCACAGAGCCTTGAACAGAGTTTCTTGACCTACACAGTAGATTCTCATTAGTTATCTACTTTATACATGTTATCAGTATATATGTTGAACTTAATCTTTCTATTCATCCACCCATCCCATCCCTTTTTCCACCTTGGTGTCCATACATTTGTTCTGTATGTCTGTGTCTCTAGTAAGAACATTAGTGCTTTGGAAACCCTGCTTGAAGTTAGCTGACATAGAAAGATGGACTTATTAATCCCTTTGAAATTCTTTCTTCAGTTCTATTCTGAATTTTCAGTCTGAGACTTACACAATGGGACATATATATGCTAATAAGAATGCTAACTGTACTTCAATTAAAAAGTAATTGAATTAGTGAATACATGCATACATACATATTACCTAACAGAGTATCATTTGAAGATTCCCAAAGCCCACCGGCTTCCCAGGTGGCGTTAGTGGTAAAGAACCTGCTTACCAATGCAGGAGATTTAAAAGATGTGAGTTTGGTCCCTGGCTCAGAAAGATCCCCTAGAGGAGGAAATGGCCACCCATTCCAGTATTCTTGCCAGAAAATCCTATGGACAGAGGAGCCTGGCGAGGCTACAATCCATAGGGTTGCAAAGAGTCATGCGTACTGAAGCAACTTAACACCCACTCAAAGCCCATTCTATTGACCATTCTACTACTTGAAAAGGAGAAAACAAATGAGAAGTCATGCCTACATTTTAACACTATATATCTTTGAATCACTAAAACAACATATATAATATATTTTCCTTAAGACTTAAGCATATTCCATATGTTTATTATGACATGCATCATTTTATATTTCTAACAAACAAGTCAATCCTAAAGGAGATCAACCCTGAATATTCATTGGACAGACTGATGGGGAAGCTGAAGCTCCAAAACTTTGGCCATCCTATGTGAAGAGTCAATTCACTGGAAAAGACCCTGATGCTGGGAAAGATAGAAAGCAGGAGGAGAAGGGGATGGTAGAGGCCAAGATGGTTGGATGGCATCACTGACTCAGTGGACATGAGTTTGAACACACTCATGGTGATGGTGAAGGACAAGGAATCCTGGTATGCTGCATTCCATGGGGTCACAATGAGTCAGAAACGATGGAGCAACTGAACAACAAATCAAGCAGAGAAGGATATAGCTGAATTTTCATAAGGACAAAAATAATACATTTTAGTCAATTGAGCAATATAATTGAAAACAACTGGAGTATTTTGCAAAAAATAACACTTTATATGTTGAATCTCTGAGGTTTTTCACTGACTACTGAATTATTATAGAGAAGACTAATTTTCTGTTGCCAACTATGTAGATCATACTACATTGAAAATGGCTTCCAATTTTGGTCTTTAAGAATTTATTTAGGAGAAATTAAAAAACATAAAGGTAAAGTAGGTAATAGTGACCTTCAGAGAAAAATCTTAAAAGTATGCCAAACAGTATTCCCTGGCCATCCTGTGGTTAGGATTTCAGGCTTTCATTGCCAGGTACTGGATTTGATCTCTGGTCAGGGAACTAAGATCCTGCAAGTCTGTGATGTGGCTAGAAAAGAAAA